ACTTTCTTTTGGGCTCTTCTCCTTTCGATTCTCCTCCTTCTTCTCTCATCTTTATTCCAAACATCCTCATTGTCCAGAATGGTCTGCTCAAGCACAGCAACACACACATCATTTAGGTACCTGAACGCCTTTTTTTTTTTTCCAAGAGTTGCTGTGGGTTGCTTTCCAACCAAGGGTTTTTCCCTGTCCCTCAGAATGGGCCTTTGGAGTTTAAATATTACAACAAACAGAAAACAGTTCACATGCAGTACAGGCAATAAGTCTGTCTTGCTATATTTAACAGAAATCCATGCATTCTCCTGTTTTATCTGACCATTTACTAAAGAAATGTGTCTAATAAGGTTGTCTAAATGGCAATTCAATTAAAAAACAATGGTTTTAAAAAAAATGTATTTTTTGAAATTCTCAATTGTTATCATTTTGGCGGTGATGGTTCTCCTTAGTTGGCCACCTAAAACCTCTTTGAACGGCCCCCAAAAGCTCCCCTGTGCAGGAAAACTCCCTGCTAGCTAGCCTTAACATAACTATCAGATGTCAGACTTATAGCTGAAATGCATTAATCCTCGCAACAATTCTGTGAGAGGTAAACCAATTTACCAAAACGTGTGGAGAAGATTTAGCACCTACTAAACTGATCTCAATGAAGCACAAGACTACAGTACATGATGTTGATGCTACACCTCAGGAGACTTCAGCACTGGCTTCAGCTGCACACGACATCAGAAATGTACAAGTGTGCAGCTGTACATGAGAAACTGACCTACATGTCACAGAGCACTAAAAGTATTTCAATGTTTGTCTTTCAGTCATGCAGTTACTTTAAACCCAGTGTATTTCTAAACATGTCTACGGCAAAGAGACGCACAGTTTACATAGTATAGCAATCTTTCAGGCTACCTGTGAGGAGCTTTGATTCTTTGTTCTCTCCATCAGCTCAGGAGTTCCATCGTGATCCTCCATCTCCTCCTGACCAGCTCCCTCTAGAGACACACAAATAAGGATGTTGTCACTGCATTTGCATTTTACTGCCCACTTGCACCCACCCACACACACTTTACTTGTTTTTTACACAATGCATTCATTTTTTAATTGTTTTTTTAATTGTATTTTATCTTTATTCTATTTTTGTCATGACTTTATTCTTTTGTAATGATTCTGTGCACTTTTGTTCTATTGTGCTGCTATTATGCCTTTCTAAGGAGGCCTCTGATTGTTGTTTAACAATGACAATAAAGATTTATTCCATTTTGTTCTATTTTGCTGTGATGGCACAAGGCATGAAGTGGAAAGAGAAACAACCGTCGAATGCTGTCAGTTTCAACAAAAGTTTAAATGCATCTCTTTTAAGACTGGCAGCTGACACTCTTTTTGTTTCTGTGTGTTTACAATGCCTGTGAGTGTGTGCTGACTCTAAATGCCTGGTCCCAATGTCCCCATGCAAAACTATGCACAGGTGATCTTGTAGCAGCTTCTGACTGGATAATGCAAAGAGAGGGACAGCCTTGGATTCTGACTCCGACATGACATTTTAGGTCACCAATCAGGATAACGGGCTATTATCTGACTGAACAATCCCCCAGATTGGCTACGTTCACACTGCAGGACTTAATGCTCAATTCAGATTTTTTTGTGAAATCTGATATTTTTGCGGGCTGCAGGGTGGCGCAGTTGGTAGCACTGTTGCCTCGCAGCAAGAAGGTTGCCGGTTCACGTCCCGGTGGGGGTACCGGGATCTTTCTGCGTGGAGTTTGCATGTTCTCCCCGTGCAGCGTGGGTTCTCTCC